GAAACCCTTGCTAAAAGAGCTGAAGCAAGACGGCAACGACGTCACAATAGGGCCACCGATCTTCAAAACTGAAGCGGACGGCACATACATACATACGAGAGGTTTCAGCTGAAAAGGGGTCTTATTCATAAATATTTTGCTTTGGACTACATRTAAAACTGTTGYGTCATCAAAGGKGTCTTAATCTTTAAGACCCTTTTTAAGTTGCAACCCCTCATACATACATGTACTTCTGATCTAGGAAAACAAAGTGCTCACCTACTTGGATCGGGAAAATRCGAAATTATTGCTTTATATAGTCAATCTGGAAGTCTTGGGCCTCGGGGATGTTGGTTTTCCGAAAGAGTAGGCCCAAGGCGTCGGATTTTAGGAGAAAGCTCCGTCACGGTCGGCGTTGGGTCTCGGAATTCTTTTGAGTACGTCGCACAGAAATGTATTTGTCGTATACAATGTATACCCGATATTTATACTCCCCTACAAAACTGGCAGAACATTAGGCTAAACAATAAGACTAATTGACCTCAATWATTGACTTGCAAAGCATTGTGGGCTCAGTTCCTAGAGAAAACAAAACAWATCCGCCATGTTCTGTCCCAAACATATCCTACAATGCACTTCAGAGGACTATTGAATATTTTTTTTAGCTTTTTACTATGACCTTTTTCCTTTCCATTTTCTCGCTACACCCCTTATAGTTTAGTCTCCTTCGCAGCCTACCCTTTTGTCKGSCTTCCTGGGGAGGGACAGGAAGCCCGACAAAAGGGTAGGCTGCGAAGGAGACTACTTATACTTATGAGCTTGGGTGTCGTGTGTAYTKCACTTATCTATATATGTACATTTACATGCAAATTGAGAAGTTGTTTTCAATCCATTCAGGTGATTATTCTCCTACACCCTCTTCACTGATTGGTCAACTACAAATACAGCTTGGGRTAAGCGTTAGAAATCTTTCGAAGGACAAAGAGGAGGACCTGAGAAAGCGGTATTTCTGCTGGTGGTCTAAACYTCTCCCAGCCCACTTAAGTTTTGGAAGAGTTATGTGTTTTGAAGGAGGTTTTGGGGCAAATGCTAATAGCCCCCCAAAAGTCAYTGGTGCTATTTTTAGATGTCTTGTACCTGTTCTCAAGAATAAAGAGGGATCTGTTATTATGCCATTGATTACTACTGGMGATCAGGTGGGTTTTRTGTCATTTTTAAAAATTTACAATGAAACATCCATGAAACGGAAAAAACATCGGAAACATCCATGAAACGAAAAAAATTACAGTGAAACTTCCATGAAACGGAAGGCCGGAATCCGACAAAACTTTGGCTTTGGAGTACGGACTTCAGTCACTTGGCATCCGAAATCTGCGCGGCAGTTAAAACGAAATGCATTAAAATAAGAGGAATCCGGAATCCAAATGTTTACCAAAAAGTTGGTCCTTTCCATTCTGCCRTCCAATATGGCGGAATCCACGAGAATCCTTGCGAAATTTTTCATAGCGAATTCGGAATCCAGGAGGGCTCCGGATTTCTTGTCATGGGAGTGTCATGGGRCGATTACAGCACTGATTTTCAAGCGTTASAGGTGCAATTGCTTGCGTCCGTTAATCAAAGCTTCGAACTTTACCGAGACTGCTCCCTCAAGAAGAACGAAGTGTGTTTGTTTTGAGGGACGAGTCTCGAAAGTAGATGGMAGTAAATTATGTCGACGGACGCGAAAAACTAATTCCAAATGAAGGTTAGCGTTCGATTGCGCCTTCGCATATTTTTCGAAAGCTTCCCGATGTCACTCTTGTAATTAAATGCAACAAATGTTTMTTGACGCTCTCTGTTGATTTAGGGTTATCCCAAGAAACTGGTCTTAAGACAAATACTGAAAGCTGCAGTAAACTGGATTAAAACTGGTTTACCTTTACGGACATTGAAGATTGTATTGTTCTCAARAAATCCCCAAAAAGAAGATAAATCTTTTGTACCTTTGTTTCAACTGTTCGAGGAGTACAAAGCAGAAGTTGAAAATAAGGATCTGGTTGAAGAAAGTGARAAGGAAGAGGTAGAGAGTTTAAGCATCACGTTTACAGCAAACGGCTAACGGTAGAGCTGAACCGTGCAATGACCTAAGAATTTCGTGCCTGACCTTGCGCTTTAGGTAGTCATTGGAAAGAGCGACTTTTCGCGATTATTGCAAACTCAAAATAACCCACTCTCGCGTTGAAAATGTTATGGTAAAAACCCAAAAAGCAGGTCACGTGATATTTTCTGCCATTTGCCGTGAACGTCATGCTTAGAGTCAATTTCGTATGAGTGGGAAACGGACAGTACTTTACTGTAACCGTAATCATACTGTAACCAAATTCTAGTGTCTCATTGCTTCGCAAAAATTGTGCAGGCCAGGTCCGGTAACTGTGCGGTAATCGTGCGGTAATTTCTACCGTACGTTTCCCACTCATACGAAATTGACTTAAGTAACAAAAATACCAACTATTTCTTATTATGATGTAACCGGGTGGAAATGATGGATTTAGTAGTTGTTTACTGTAGGTTCATATTGATATAAGTTGTTGGAGAAAGATAACAAAMAGAGAAAACTGACACACAACCAAACACGACCGAATCTGGAGCAGAACTGATTTACTTGCGTGATACTTGCGTAAAACGCGCGTTACAAGCGTGATCGCTCACGCAATTTTCCAAATATGGGTGTCACATAATCTTGACCTTGTCACAATGAAATTATTCTAAAGACTTTCAAGTACGGACGATACACGGTAGAATATGCATCTATCAGTGGTGATCCAGAAGGTTGCAAAGTGGGTGGCTATTATATAACTCAAGAAAAAATATTGGATTTAAGGCTGCAAAAAAATGAAATGTCTTTCCGATGAACGCTGCTTTAGATATTTTTGAATGATTTCTATTCAGATTGAATTTCTGTTCATAATTCCCACCTCTATATTTCTGAGGCCTAAAATGAGTCCTCCTTGCGTCAATCGGTTGTATGATTCTAATTTGTTCGTATCTTTAAGGGTGCAATCCATCTTTATGACATTTACATTTCCCACTGCGATAAAGACCACAATACAGCACTTCAAGTGAAGGAATATCTCCAAGAAAAAGACGAGCTGAAAGTTTTTGACGAAATTCAAAACCTTGATGCCGACAAATCCTGGCAAGATGATATATATGACATAATGGTGAAATGCACCCGTGTCGTAACACTCCTCAGTCCAAACTATTTGTCCTCAGAAAGTTGCATAGAGCAATACAACATGGCGTTGTGTATCAGTCGCAGAAAGCATAAAGAAGTGCTGGCACCTTTCTATGTTCAAAGTGTGGAGTATTTGCCAACATATATGGGTTTGATGCAGTA